TTTTTCTAAAAGCTATCCTCTAGGAATTATTTTGGGAAAGTTCTATGTCTGTGCTATACAGGCGGTGAGACCAGGTGATCACCGGATCCCTTCTGGCTTTATAATCTCAGAACTAGGTACATCAATTCACATGCAAAATTCTCATTGAATTCAATAGGTGTCCTTGCCCTGTGGCTTGTGGTGCGGGCTGCAGCAGGGGCCGTACAACCCCTCTCGCAGCTTCCTAGGGCCCCCTCTCATGGCTCTGTGCACCTGTGTCTGTCATTGTCGTCCTCTCCCCTCCCCCCGCCCTGCTCGCCCAATGTGTCCTGATATTTCACTCTTGCGATCTGGTCATCCTAGGTGTATTTATAGAGAGCAATCATATCTCCCCTCAGCCTTCTTTTAGTTAGTTAGGCTGAACAAGCCAAACTCTTTGGGTCTCCTCTCATAAGACAGGTTTTCCATTCCTCGGATCATACTAGGAGCTCCTCTCTACCTGTTCCACTTTGAATTCATCCTTCTTAAACATGGGAGACCAGAACTGCACCCAGGATTCCAGATGAGGTCTCACTGGTGCCTTGTAGAACGGTACTAACACTTCCCTGTCTCTACTGGAAGTACCTCACCGGATGCACCGCAGGATCATGTTAGCCTTTTTCACAGCCGCATCACATTGGCGGCTCATAGTCATCCTGTGATCAACCAATACACCCAGGTCTTTTTCTTCCACTGTTACTTCCAACTGATGCGTCCCCAGCTTATAGAAAAAAATTCTTGTTGTTAGTCCCTAAAGGCATGACCTTTCACTTTGCACTATTAAATATCATTCTATTTCTATTATTTCAGTTTACAAGGTCTTCCAGATCATCTTAATTATATTCTGGTCCTCTTCCATATTGGCAATGCCTGCCAACTTCTTTGTATTATCAGCAAATTTTATTAGCACATTCCCACTTTTTGTGCCAAGGTCATTAACGAAAATGTTAAATAAGTTTGGTCCCAATACTGATCCCTGAGGAACTCCATTAGTAACCTCCCTCCAGCCTGACAGTTCACCTTTCAGGATCACCTGTTGTAGTCTCCCCTTTAACCAGTTCCTTATCCATCTTTCAATTTTCAAATTGATCCCCAACTTCTCCAATTTAACTAATAATTTCCCATGTGGAACAGTATCAAATGCCTTACTGAAATTCAGGTAGATTAGATCTATTGCATTTCCTTTGTCTAGAAAATCAGTTATTATCTCAAAGAAGGAGATCAGGTTGGTCTGGTACAATCTACATTTTGTAAAACCATGTTGTATTTTATCCCAATTGCCATTTGCCTCTATGTCCTTAAATACTTCCTCTTTCAACATTTGTTCCAAGACCTTGCCTACAGCTGAGGTCAAACTTACAGGCCTGTAATTTCCTGGATCACTTTTTTCCCCTTTCTAAAAAATAGGAACTATATTAGCAATTCTCCAGCCATAGGGTACAACTCCCTAGTTTACAGATTCATTAAAAATCCTTGCTATTGGGCTTGCAATTTCATGTGCCAGTTCCTTTAATTCCCTTCACACCCAAGCTAGCTAGATTATAATTAGCTTGGCTATGTCTATGTGAGCGGCAGTCAGACCCTGTGATTGCAGTATAGACATACCCTTTGTCTTCACTATAAAAAGTTTGAGCAATTAAACAATATAACCAAAATTTATTTTTCAATAATAAACTGACATGGAGTTATGTCTCCCTTCTCTTTCTCTCTCCTCTGTCATTTGGGTTTCTTCCATTTGCTGAAGTTTAAGTGCTTTGTATATTCTTACCATGATCCATTTCGTGGGGCCTTTTCTGAAATTTACATTTTCTGTATCTTTCAGTGGGTTTCAAAATTGTTCAGACCTTGATTTGTGTGTGTAACATGATATTTTGCTTCCAGATATTGGAGAACTGGCCATGTTTCTTCTGACACAGCTTGTCTATTTTGTAGTTTGTTAAACATACAAGTGTGACAATTCATGAGCCAGTGTTTGGAATGTGTAAAAATATTTTCAACAGGGTCATGGGAGTGACTCCTCTAGGGACATTAGCATATTTCAGAATCTTCTCACAAATAGGCAATGCTGTTCTAAATCCACATCTTCCTATTTTCTTAGCAATTTACATCTTCACAGGACTGAAAAAATCGATTGCTACCATTCCCTGTTGCAGCAGGTGAGTGAATGTTAATAACCCGCTTTTGGCAGGCACAGAAACTGAGACACAAAGAACTCGATCCTTCATTGACTCAAGACAGTGGTGAAACCCTCATTGACATCAGTGCAGGCAGGGTTAGGCCCAAGAGCGGGGGCAGGGAGGAGAGTTATTTCTTCAATATTTTTATTTATTTATTATTTATTATTATAAAGAAATTTATTTCACCATGTGACTCTCCAGCCATCAGACTATGCAGCTGAAGAGCAGGATTTTGGGGAGGGGGAATCCTCCTCCATCATGGGGCTGGGTCCTAGGAATCCAGCCTGGCCTAACTCTCACAGTCAGTTCTCCAGCCTGATTTGGGACCGAGGTGCACCCTGTGGTGGAGAGATCCCTCTTTCCCTTCCCCATGCACCCCACGGGGTGCTGAAGCAATGTTGCTCAGGGCTCTGTGCTGACCCTTTACATCACAGATAGCTTTCTCACACAAGAAGGATGTGGCTTCCCCCTAGTGACAACACCTGGTCCCCTGATTACACCTGAATTGTAAAGAGACAGGACCACCCAGTGGCATAGCCAGGGTCTAAGCGTAGGGGGAGCAAACATAAAAAAGGTGCCCCCCCTTGGCTCCTCCTCTGGCCACGTCCCCCCTTGGCTCCTCCTCTGGCCACGTCCCCCCTTGGCTCCTCCCGTTTCCCTCCCCCAGATTAACCCCGGGGCCTGGCTCAGGACTCCTGCGGGCTTCCCGGGGGTGCGGATACCCCCGTCCCCCCGCGGTCCCGGGAGAGTCTCTCCTGCCCAGCCTGCTCTGCAGGTGTCCCCCGCCGGGCTTCACCGCCCGGCCTCACCCGCGGGGTCCCGTCCCCCACGCCCTGGGCTCCAGGCTCCTGCGCCGCGCCAGGGCCCCCCGTCCAGACAGCGCGGCCTACGCCCCTGCCCTGCGGGCCTGGCCCCGGGGAGCCCCTCGCCCGGAGGGGACCCCCCAGTGCAAGGCACTGGACCCCCGCCGCTCACCTTCTGTCCTGTGCCGCCGCCTGTCCCCGGCCGATCCCGGCCCCGCGCTGTGGGCGGATCCCAGCTCCGGCTCCGGGTGGGGAGCGCTTGGCCGCCGAGCCCTGAGCCGCCGCTGGAGGTGGCTGTGCCTGCGGCGATGTTGAGGCCGTGTGGGGCGCGATGGCCGAGGAGCTGGCCCCCTTGCTCCTCCGGCCGTGCTGACCCCAGCGCCGGCCCGGCAGGCGCCGCTTTTGGGAAATGTGCTGAGGGGAAGCGGCTGCTTCCCCTGCACCTCACTAGCTATGCTACTGGGACCACCATTCACTACAGTGGCAGAGCTGAAGCTAATTACCAGATATTCCTGGTCCCTTAGAGCTGGAACATGCTGCTGCCTGAATTACAACAATAAATACATGTAAATACAGCTAAGAGGAGGTGTGTTTGTGTTTCACCTCCCTGTTTAAACTGGCAGAAGCTTCTCATCAGAGTCAGTCTGTGGGGAGTTCCCAGCTTCTCCTTCCGCAGAGTCAAGCCAGAAGGTCTTTTTGTTTGTTTGTTTTTTCATTACATATTTCCAGTGTTGTTTCTGGGCATTAAAGTTTTTCCCCAGCTCCTTGATGTTCCTCAGATCTTGCAGACTTTAGTTTTGAATGATTTCTAATCAGCATTTCATATGCCTCTCTAGTGCAGTGACAGGGTGAACGTGAAAGTGAAAGAGCACAGGAGGAATTCAGAAAAGTCACATGGTTTTGTGATATTTAAAAAAACCCATCTCTTTTTAAAGAAACACAGACAATTGTGACAATCCACATGTGGTCTCAGTCCAGGGCCGGATCCAGGGGTTTTGCCGCCCCAAGCGGAAAAAAAAAAAAAAAAAGCCGCGATCGCAATCGCGATCTGCGGCGGCAATTCGGCGGGAGGTCCTTCGCTCCGAGCGGGAGTGAGGGATCGTCCGCCGAATTGCCTCCAAATGGCTGGACGTGCTGCCCCTCTCCAGAGGGGCCGCCCCAAGCACCTGCTTGGCAAGCTGGTGCCTGGAGCCGGCCCTGTCTCAGTCCCTGTTCTTGGTTTGGCTACTGTGATGCTCGAAGATCAGGTTCCAACTCATGCCAAAGCCCCAGGCCAGTTCACTTGTGCATTAGTATAGATCAAAGTGGTTGTAAATTTATTTGGTGTTTAAACTTCATGAAAACTGTGGGATGTTACATGCATTGTTTTCACTGATCTGTATCCTGCTAGACTGTAATAGAAAACATTTACATTGTATATACCCCTGTAACTAAATAACCCGTCAAATGAGAAAGAAATAATCATGTAATGCAAATGAAGCACTTTAGCAGGAAATTGCTAATTCATGCATATTTGAAGGCAAGCGGTCATTGTGTGTGATGATCAGAGATCAAAGACTCGAAATGGGCTCCTCTCTCTCCACCAGTCAAAGGAAAAGCCCATGTGGCAGTGACATTGTCAGCTTGTTTCCTGTGAAAGGAAGCTATAAGTATGTGTAACCCTTCTGCTAGGTGGAGTCGGCAGCAACCAGGGCCGGGTTCAATATCTAGAAGTTCCTTTTCAACAGTACAACACAGAACCGGCTCAAGCCAATAACCTGGAAAAACTACACACCACTCCTGGGTGCCTCTTAGAGGCAATACTTCCCCACTCGCAAGCACAGAGTCTGAGTATAGGAAAGAAACTTTTAATGAAAGGAGGGAAATCACCCGACATTAATTAGGGGAAATGCTGCAAGCAGGATTCATCATAAACATAAACCTGTGAGCAGGACACCCACACCCACTGAATGGCGCAGTGTCTTCTGCCTCATGTTCTTGAGTTCTACAACCAAAAGTTCCTTTACTGTGCCCCGACCCTGCTCCCCTCACCACACCCCACTCACAGGGGTTGTCCTTGGTCAGTAGGACCCAAGGTTCAGAGGTGCGTCTATGTGAGTTCACCTCCCACCCAGGGAAGAAAGCACCTGGCTTGCTTTGCCATCTGAGCACTTGCTCTGACTGGCCGACTTGCCAGCCACTGTTCCTCAGTGCCCGGCCCCTCCCACCAACCACCTGCTTGCCGCTCCCACCAGCCAAGATGCAGGGGCCTGTGTCAGTAGCAGAGATACCTTCAAGGGAACCCTCACCACCCCTAGCCCAAGAAGAAGTCTCCTCTTCCACTGCCCCTGCCATGCCCACTCTCAATAGGCATGACAGAGTTACAAGGACAGTAAACAAGCTAACTTATGAGAACTCATGCAGTTTGTAACATCTGGAGTGGGCTTTGCTGCAAAGACAAATTCTCGGCCAGGGAGGGGAGGATGTGAGCAGAGTCTGAATGAGCTCTCCCTGGACAGCTAGCTGGGAGGGGGAGAGACTTCAGGAGCAAATTGTATTTACATGAACACACCTACTCTGCGTAGATACCCTGTTTCCCCGAAAATAAGACAGTGTCTTATATTAATTTTTGCTCCCAAAGATGCGCTAGGTCTTATTTTCAGGGGAGGTCTTATTTTTCCTGGAGCTTCGGGGCCTTATATTCCGGGGTGGCCTTATTATCGGGGAGGTCTTATTTTTGGGGGATGTCTTATATTACAGCGAGAGGCAAAACTGGAAGTAGGTCTTATTTCGGGGGATGTCTTACTTTCGGGGAAACAGGGTATCCAGCACATAGAGCAGCGTGGCTCAAAATGATCAACTTTGGCTGGTGTTGGGTTACAAATCACTTTAGTACTGAATGAAATGTTGTTGTCTTTATTGTTTGAGTAAAGGGGACCAGAACTCTGCTTAGCCTGTCCCAAATGAGGGGTCACCCTCAGCTGAAAGGACCTTGTTAAGCAAGGGGCTTGGATGCCAGACCCCTATGAAAGCAAGTGGGGTAGGGACATGACTGGGTTCCGGTTTTGTGTAAGACTAAAATGTCTCCTTATTAAACCCAATAAATAAAGAGCAGCATTTCACCTGGGTTTTGCACTAAGGACTATAACTTATATTTTTGGAGTGACATAAGGGCTGACATCCATCAACACAGCCACCGTTTATTTAGAAAGGTGTGACGGTGGCATCTTCAGCTGCCGAACGCAATGTTTCTAGTTAACCAGCTGAGTACTCAACATCCTCCAGCCAGAGCACATAAATTACAGAAGACAATACATATGACTTTTTTTTTTTTTTTAACCTTAGCTCTGCTCCAGTGGGGCCAGGGCATTCACATTCACATTCACATTCATCCGCAAAACAGCAGCCGTGATCTCCTTCCCCTTAAAGAACTTCTTCAGCCAACAGCATCCAGGGAACAGCAGGGCTGGGGGAAGTCAGAGCAGCGTCTCTGCTTTCCTCAGCTCAGATGCCACAATATCTCTATTAACCGTGTTGCTAAATTGCTGCATCATTGTACCCAGGAACTAGCCACATCCCCAGCAGCATCGGTAGTGATCACAGCTTCCCCAGCACAACTGAATTTCTGCTGCTCATCCCAAAACTGGACACAATACTCCAGACGTGGCCTCACCAGTGCCGAATAGAGGGGAATAATCACTTCCCTTGATCTGCTGGCAATGCTCCTACTAATACAGCCTAATATGCCGTTTGCCTTCTTGGCAACAAGGGCACACTGCTGACTCCTATCCAGCTTCTCATCCACTGTAATCCCCAGGTCCTTACGTGGTCCGAGGCCGACTGCCCGCCTCTCCGTGGGGTTCCGCTGCAGCCTTCACCACGAGCCACTCCACTCCACTCGCCGTTCCGTGGGCCGCTCCAACCGTCCCACAAACGGCTCCGCTCTGCCAGCCACTCCACCAGCCGTTCCGCAACTGCTCTGCTCACCGTTCTGTAGGGTAGAGCTCATCCTGACTCTGCTTACACTTACATACAGTGCAACCCCTCCACCTTTCCTCCGGTACCTGTCCTTCCTGAACAGTTTATACCCATCCATGACACTGCTCCAGTCATGTGAGTTACCCCACCAAGTCTCTGTTATTCCAATCACATCATAGTTCATTGACTGTGCGAGGACTTCCAATTCTTCTTGTTTCCCAGGCTTCTTTCATGTACATCCACCTAAGATAAGTAGCCGATTGCCCTACTTTCTCAGCATGAATCAAGAGGCTTCCCATCTTGTACCCTACTCCTTGTGTTTCCTCCCGGTATCCCACTCCCACACTTACCTCTGGGCTTAGGTCACCATCTCCCGGTGAACCTAGTTTAAAGCCCATCTCACTAGGTTAGCAAGCCTGCCTGCGAAGATGCTCTTCCCTCTTTTCATTAGGTGGATTCCATCTCTTCCTAGCAATCCTTCTTCCCAAAAAAAACATCCCATGGTCGAAGAATCCAAAGCCCTCTCTCCGACACCACCTGTGTAATCACGCATTTATCTCCACAATTCGACGGTCCCTACCTGAGTCTTTTCCTTCCACAGGGAGGATGGACGAGAACACGACTTGCACCTCAAATGCCTTTACCCTTCTTCCCAGAGACATGTAGTCTGCAGTGACCCGTTCAAGGTCATTCTTGGAGTATCATTGATACCCATGTGGAGAAGTAGGAAGGGGCAGCGGTCCAAGGTCTTGAACGGTCTCAGCAGACACTCCATCACATCCTGGATTCTAGCTCCAGGCAAGCAGCACACTACTCAAATCTCCCGGTCTGGTCGGCAGATGGATGACTTTATCCCCCTTAGGAGGGAGTCCCCGACCACCACCACCCGTCTCCTCCTCTTGGGAGTGGTGGTCATGGAATCCCCATCCCTAGGGCAATGCATCTCAATGCATCTTCCGGTTGATGGGGTCTCCTTCTGATCCCTTCCCTCAGATGCGATCCTTCCAAATCCTTCTCCGCAGTAGTACCTGTGCAGGGAACCTGAAAACAGTTTCACCTCTATCTGCACTGGGGGTACATGGGTTCTCCTTTCTCTTTTTCTGGAGGTCACATGCTGCGAATTTTCTTCTTTGCTCTGTGCTGCCCTCTCTGATTCTTCAGCATGCTGTGCCTGCAGTACCAAACGCTGACTTCTATCCAGAAAATCTCTATTTTCTCTGATGCAACCCAGGATGGATACTTGTTCTCTAGTCCTTTAACTTTCTCTTCCAGTATGGAAACCAGCTTGCATTTCATACAGACGAAGTCGCTTCTGTCCTCTGGGAAAAAGACAAACATGGTGCAACCTGTGCAGGGCTCAACAGCTGATCACTCACTATCCATAATGTCTTCCTTCTAAGAGCCTCCTCAGATGTTGTACTTACTGCTCACAGAAGCCTGAAAGGCAAAAACACTCTGTGGGAACTCCCCCGAGGCAAACTCCCTCTGTTTGCCTGTCATCTGTTCTCCGCTCACTAGGTTTGCAACTGGCTGCTTTATTATAAGGCTGCTGGCTAGAAGCAGTTGGCCTGGCTCAAGGCTTTCCCTCCAATCAACCACTCAAGGCCCACCTGGAACAAAGCACTCCCAATTCACACTTTTCAAACAAACAACCACCCTGTCAAACAGTCAGTCTTCCACCCTGACTTCCTCCCAGACCCCACCCCACATCTTCCCCCGTGAGGCCTCGGTGCTCTCCCTCCTCCCACTTCCCCATCACTCGATCCTTTCCACTTGCCTTCCCCTTCCCTCTCCACCCATGGATTTAAGCTAAGTGAATGAAGTCACTGAATGCTTTGCCTTTATATCTCCATATACTTGCTTTCTGACAAAGAAAAAAAACTTTATTACATGGACCAACTGTCCACTTCCAAGAAATGCAGACATAAACATGCACAAACCCTTTCCCCATAAATGAGCCTAGTTTGGGCCTGTGACGTTATTGATATAATCTGGGACCATATAGATCATTACAATATAGAACAGCATAATCATAACCAGCAAACCATAATCTTGTCTTAGACACCTCATTTGACCACCTTTATACAAGATTTGGTGCCACTACAGGACTTTGGTTGCAACAATGATCTATATGGTCCCAGATTATATCAATAATGTCACAGGGCCTTCATAACCCCATACAATTTTTGACCACTCAGTGCATGACACTTTCTAAAACCAGACCTTAATTACATGTGTAACCCTTCTGCCCCTCTGAGTTGGCAGCAACAAGGGCCGGGTTCAGTATCTAGGGTTCCGTTTCAATAACGCAATGCAAAACCAGCTCGAGCCCCCACCCAGTGACCTGGGACAATTACATACCACCCCCCTGGGTACCTCTAGGAGGCAATACTTCCCCTCTCGCAAGCACAGAGTCTGAGTGTAGCAAAAGCCTTTTAATAAAGGGGGGAAACAATGCGGCATCATGTTGGGGAAACACCACAAACAGGATTCATAACACAAACCATGAGCAAAAGACCCACCTCCAAGTAAGTTTGGCCGTGTCCTTTTTCCCCTCAGGGTCTTAATTCCAATCACCCCAAAGTCCAACAATCCCAAAGTCTCTGTCCCTGGTCAGTGCCGCCCCAGAGTTCAAAAGTGTATCTGCAGAGTTTTACCCCCCCCCCCGCCTGGGCGGAAATGAGGGGGGGCACACGGGGTGTTAAGGGGCACCTTACGTGGTCCAAGGCTGACTGCCCCGCCTCTCCGTGGAGTTCTGCTGCAGCCTTCACCATGAATGGCTCTGCTCTACCAGCCGCGCCATGCCGCTCCTCCAGCCGTCCCCACAAACTGCTCCGCTCTGCTCCCAGTTCCGTGGGCCGCTCCAACCGTCCCACAAACTGCTCAGCTCTGCCAGCCGCTCCACTCCACCAGCCATCCCATGAACCGCTTCAGCTGCCCCCGCAAACGGCTCCGCTCGCTGTTCCATGGGCCACTCCAACCATCCCACGGGCCGCTCCAATCGTCCCACAAACTGCTCGGCTCTGCCAGCTGCTTAGGAATATTTCTTCAGGTTCCCCCACTGGTTAACACAGCACTCAGTGATCCCAGCTCAGCAATTTTAGCGATTTCAGCTTGTAGTAGGGGAGCCCCAGTGCTGGTGCACGATTGGCCCAAAGTGAATTCAGCTCAGCAACTTCTAGCTAGATTCCTAATGGAAGCGAAATTAGCTCTGCTATGCAAGAGTGGAGAGAGGAGGTAGTGCAATTGGTGTTCCAGGCCCTCAAAAGGGGCCCATTGGGTACACATACCTGTCCCCAACCTCTCTCAGTTCACTAGGTTTTGGAACCCATGCCCCTTGTCTAGCGAGTGCTACTTAGTTAGTATGACAGAGTCCCTCTGTCATACAACAGTTCCACTGGCCTTGATTCACAGAATCAGGGTAACAACACTTTATTCTTCCTGCCCCAACAACAGAGAAACTGGGGATCCCACAGCAGCCAAAGTGACCACTTTCAGTTGTTGTTGTCCCAGGCTAGGCGGGTGGCTGTTCCTATGCAAACAAGATCAGCCCCTGAAGTTCTTTTCCACCCTCGCCATAATTCACCACCAGATGTCAGGGTAGAGCTCACCTAAATAATGTCTTAATCTGATGAATAAGAGCTTAATTTCTTTGGTATCCAAAAATCAAAGACCTCTGGACATGGTTACAAACGCTACATAATAGTAAAATTATAAAACAAAGCTATAAATTGTCTATGTACCAAAGCAGGATTAGACTTAAAATCCTTCAGATTCCTATATCTGCACAGAGGATAAAATGTACAACTTCTAGTAACGATAATAGAAAAGCCGTATTTAATGTGCTGAAGAGGGTTGGTTTTTTTTGCCTTCATCTATCACTAATCCTTAATTTCTGGGGGAGGGGGGAGTCCAGGGCTGGGCTAGCAGAGGGCTGTGGGTCAGGAGTGAGGGGCACCGGCAGAACTTGTGGGGAGCCCAGAGCTGGGCTAGCAGGGGGCTGCCAGGGTTGGTCCCTGGAGTGAGACAGCAGCCGGGGGTAACTACAGCAGGGTGGGGGTGAGGGGTCAGTCCCCAGAGCGAGGCAGGGTCCAGGCACAAGCACAGCAGGGTGGTGGGGGCACAGACAGGACCCCCCCCCCCCCCGAGGATGGCGTGGAGCCGGTACCTACCTCTCTCTGCCAGAGCTGGGTCCTTGGGAGCCAGTTCTCTCTCTCTCTGCCTCTGGGCAGCGGCAGCTGCTCTTCCTGCCTTCCTGGCTGAGAGGCTGATTGAGGTTACCCCATAACTGGAGTTTTAGTGTCCAGTCAGCACTGCTGACTGGACACTGCTAGGTCCACATTTTGACCAGACTTTCTGGTTGAAAACTGGACTCCTGGCAACGGAGGGGAGGGGGGAGGGGGAGGGCAGGAAGCTATGGGGCTGTGGGGAAGAGGTGGAGTGGGGGTGGGGCCTCAGGGGGAAGGGGCTGGGTGAGGGCAGGGCCTCAGGGTGGAGTGGGGGGCAGGGCCACAGTCCAGGCACTGGTGTGGGCCTCTTCTGAGTGTGGGCCCAGTGCCACTGGTGCCATTGTAAACCCGATACTGACTTCATTTAGAACAAGCTTTTAAGTTGCCCTCCACAGCCACAGAGGGAGTAAAGGGATATAAGACCCTAATTAAGCCCCTGCATGGATCACCTTACTGTGTGCATTGGGATGGGAGTACTCCCCACTTCACAGGCTTGGGCTACATTTAAAACTTATAGTGGCATAGATATTTTGGATAGGAGTGTGAAAAAACACACCCGCAGTTACATAACTTTGTTGCCAAACCCCCCAGCATTGATGCAATTGTACTGACAGAACAATGCTGCTGCTGACACAGCTAACGTTGTTCGGGGAGGTGGTGTTCCTCGTCCTTTTGTTGGTGTATACTGTGTTGTGCAGTGGGGGCTTTATTGCCAACATAGCTATCCCAGCATAGGCTCTGTAGGGTAGACATGGCTGCATTTGGATGGGGAGTGGGCACAGCAGAGGGCAGAGTGGAGAGAGCTTTGGCCCCACCCCTCCATGCCTGAGACAGAACTGTTGAGCTAGTGGCTGTGGAGAAGTAATTTGGACAGGTGAAGGCTGGTGCCACTCCAGAGTTAAAGCAGCAAACTAGGCAAGAAATTGTGACTTGGAAGTGCTTTCCTTGTGCCACTTGTGAGGTGGGGCAGCTACATGTTCCCTCTTGTTCTGACCCCATATAAAATCTCATCCTTTTCTTTATGTATTTATTACAAGAAAATTTCATCATTATCACATGGTAATTTCCCCCTCAGTTATTTACCTTTTAGTTTAAATAGATACACAGGGAAGCCAATGAAACCTAACAAAACCATTCACAATGGGAATTGCAATGATGAAAGTAACAAGTATATGAGGGTTGTTGGGCGTTCAGTAGGTGACCAAGAGAACGCAATGTTAGAACTCCACATGCTGTTTGAGTTAAAATGTGGATACAGGAGTTGAAAGAAAAGGAAAACCAAAATGAAGTCAAAACTTTTAGTCATAGGAAAATTAGCTATGAATGGAAAGCCACAAGTTCAAATGTGGATTTGGACTTTATTTTATAAACTTAATAGTTAATAATAAATGTTGGAGTCTTTTATTTGCCTTCTAGTCTCTCAGACTTTTAGGCCGCACTCAGGTCACATTTTCAAGTTTTTCTGTCCAGCCATAAGTTCTAGAAACTTCTTTTCTTTAGAAAACAAAAGCCAAGAGCCTCATCTCATCACATCATTCCAGGAGCTGGAGCTTTAGGAAACACATGAAATATCATGAGACAAATGATGAACTCCTGAGAGCCGTCAACACTGGGCACTAAGGCCTTTTACCTCTTAGGGCTTGTCTACGGTTAAACCACTAGAGTGGCACAGCAGTGCCACAGCAGCATTTCAGCGTAGGCCTGGCCTGTACCAACAGGAGGTGCTAGCTAGGTCAATAGAAAACATTCTTCCCTCACCCTAGCTCTGTCTGCACAAGGACTTCGGTCACATGAACTAGGCCATTTTCCACACCCCGAGTGATGGAGTTACGTCCATCTAATTTTCTAGAGCAGACCCGGCCTTAGTGTAAATCAGAATCAGGCCTTTGAAACGTTGATTCCACCTGAACCCAGATTTTAGCTTCTGACTTCAGTATCACTCCTTAGACAAACAAACCCTGCTCCTGCAAGGTCAGCGTCACAGGTGGGCACTGATGCCCAAGTAAAGCCCCAGCGCCCACCAGCTCAGGGGCTGATTGCAGGATCAGAGCCTTATTGGCACATTTTCCACAAAAGCCTCCAGCGCTGGAATGCCAACGACTGGCTCAT